GGGAAATTATGTGAAATGAAAACTTCGCGAAGTAGCGATATAATGTAATAGTTAGCGCTTTAAAAAAGAGAAAGGAATGGAAATTACCCCAAGTAAAACATGTGCAGGGTTTAATAATCCAAATGGATGTATTATCTGCCAGAAAAACGAGCAAAATACACTAGTGGCGCTGTTTGAAAAATAAGAGATTTGCCCGAGCCAGTATAGGAAGAATAACAAGGACATCTTTTCCAAGAACAATCTCTTTAAGAGCCTTTTGCTGTATTTCTCTAAATTCGTCCAAGCTAAACGACTTCAGAGCCTTCAAACAAGCACTTTCAAAGAGAATCTCAAACGACGAATTGTACGCCATTTTGTTACACTGCTGCCTGCTAATTTATTAATGATATGCCCCTGAAAATATCGGGGGCCACTCGCTGATTGGTCAAGACTGACAATAGCGAACCCCATGCGCCCAGCCGTCAGGGGAGAGAGTATCGCGGGCGCACGAAATCCCGACGGCTGGAGACTGAGCCTACTATCTACGCCGCAACCATCAAAACTGCAATTCTTCGTTTGCACGTACGTCATGGAAAAATAAATTTTCCGTAAAATTAGTCACAAACAAAATTCAAGTAATCCATGTGAAAGAGCGAGTAAAACTCTGTATCCCTGAGAACTTTTTCGCCGAAAAGAGTTTTATTTGCCAAGATATAAACAATTTTATACGTTAATTTTTTAGAAGGAAATGTACGGGCGAGTATCATGTTTATACGCTTTCACGGCACCAACATTTTTAGAGAGTTTTAAAATCAAAGATAAAATTTCGGTACTTTCACATAATAGATGTATTAAAGTTCTGTAATTCTGTGAAATTGTGAGTCGAACCGAGCTTTTGTTGCAAGTTTATAAGCAATTTTGTATGCCGATCTTTACAAAGTACTGGTGGACGTCTGAAGTCCACCAGAAATGGCGGCCAACTGTTATGAACATAATTTCGGGTACTAAATAGCAAATATACCTTATTTTCATTACATTTAGCAATTCTAAATCTATATTAAAACAAAAAACTACGATTTAGAAGAATTTTAGATGATTTCCACGGCTTTTCATGCGCGTGACCTGGCGTTGTGTGACATGACTTTGGCTACCAAATAAAACGACGTTGTGCATCAAATTATTCGCATATAAGTTCAAAAATTATCTCGAAACATAGTTTTCTAAACTATATTTTAGAGTAAAATCGATTTCATGGAAAATCAGGTTTAAATTATTATTTTTTGGATCTATGACGTAACATGCAAACGAAGAATTCGAAATTCTATATGTACTTTTAAAAAGGCCTTGCCCCAATATCCTTTTTTATCTTTCYTTCTTTCTTCTCAAAATATCATCAAGTCCCTTGATCAGTTCTTGCTCATCGCTATGTGATGTTTCAAACAAGTCTTTCATGTTTGGAGAAGGGATTTCTCAGTGAGTGAGGTCAGTGAGCGTTGTTGTCATCCTTGCGCTGATCTCTTCCTCTTTTAGGATTTCTTGAATCAACTTGTCTTATACAACAAACATTTTAGGACAGGGGCAAATCCGCAGAAGGGGCGGGTTGTTAACCAGCAAAACTGAGCAAAAATGAGTGTATGCCTGTGGTTTTCAGTCAATGATCTCTTGCTTCGCGGGATCAAAACCTTGTCTGTGAGAAAAAAGCGTGTGTTTACCTAGGCTATTTGTTTGACTTCCTCGTCCTCCCGCGCAATGTCTGTAGAAAAGATATGGCTGGATGGGTTGTATAGAGTCAATRAAATGTTTGTAGAAATGTAGTTTCTGAGTTTAGCAAGGATTCCAAAGGTTTTGCTTATTTTATTACAATATTGATATTTCGATTTTTACCGTGCCCAGGCCTCTTCGGCCGGCACGGCCTTAAAATGCAAGCACTTTTTTAATCCACGTTTGGTTTTTAACGAGCGCTCGACGATTTCCTTACGACATTACACCGACTGGGACAACTTTGCTCCCACTGATAAAACTACATGGTATGATGGCGGTCGTTCAAGGAAATAAGACTACTGAATATTTTGGCTATTTGGTGCAAGGTTATAGAATGCAAGCACAATTTTTTTCCACGTTAGGTTTTACCCGAGCGCTCGGCAATTTTCCAACGAGTTTAAATCGACGTGGGATCACAATTTTGCTCCCGCACTGATAAAACTACAAGGGAATGAGACTACTGGACATTTTGGCCCGGGGGTACTCCCCCCAACTTGGGCGGAGGTGTGCCGCTGGGACCTCAAAACCTTGACCCTGTTCCAGAGTGAAATCGCTGAAAACTATATCCTGTTCCAGAGTAAAATCGCTAAGAACGATACCCTGTTCCAGCCTTACGTGTACGGACCGAATTTTTACCCCGAAAATTTTTACCCAGCATCAATAACTTCGGAATTAAACTCTGACCCTGTTCCTGGGAAAATTCGTTGAAATCGATACCCTGTTCCAGAGTAAAATCGCTCAAAAACGCCTGGTTGG